CGCAGCCGCTACTTGGAGGGCTACGTTGATGGGTCCATCCCGTGCCCACCTCCTCACCATCCGGCATATCACACGTGGGTGGCGCAGGATCAGACCATTCTCTCTGCCATTCAGTCCTCGCTCACGCCGAGTGTTTCATCGATGGTCATCTTCGCCGCTACGTCCAGGGAGGTGTGGGCGGCCCTCCACACCAGTTTCGCCTCTCAGTCTTAGGCGCGTGCGCACTCTATACGCACCGAGCTGGGTGAGACCAAACTTGGCGATCTCAGCATCACGGAGTACTTGAACAAGATGACGAGCCTCGCTGACACCCTGGCCTCTGTTGGTCAGCCACTTCTGGACGCGGACTTCACCACCTTTGTGCTTAACGGGCTCGATGATGATTATGATAATCTCATTGAGAACGTCCATGGTCGAGATGATACACTCCCGCGTCGTGAGCTCTATGCGCGCCTCCTTGGGCGTGAGCAGCGCATCAAGGCGCGCCGTGTTTCCCCCAGCTTCGTCTCCGCCAACGCCGCCACATGCGGCAAACCTCAGAAGCCGGCCCCATCAGGTGGCAAACCACCGGCTTCCCCGTCGCAGGCCTCGCGGGGCAACGCGCCGACTATCACAGGAGGGAGTCGCCCAGTTGCTTGTTGATCCATTTGCGGCGCTCCTCAGGCTTGTCAGCTTTGTGGCATAGATCGTCACCTCGCCTCTCGCTGCCACAGACGCTATAAGCAAGACTTCCTTGGCCTTGGCAACAATGGAAAAGGGAATGATAAGCAGGCTGAAGCTGCGGTTACAGGGCACAACCACGGGCGCACCCAGTCATACTCCCTTGATCCAGCGTGGTACATGGATACAGGAGCGACGAATCACCTCACCGGCGAGATGGGCAAGCTCTCCGTTCAGGAACCGTATCATGGACATGATCAGGTGCACACCGCCAATGGAGCAGGTATGCGTATCTCCCATGTTGGTCAGGCATCACTTCTTGCACACAATTTTCGTAAACTACATCTTTCTAACGTCCTTCGAGTTCCCTCTGCTACGCGTAGTTTGTTGTCTATTCCTCAACTTACTCGTGATAATAATGTCCTTGCTGAGTTTCACCCTTTTCGTTTCTTTATTAAGGATCAGGACACGAGGGCCGTTCTGCTTAGTGGTCGTCTTCGCCATGGCTTATATGCACTTGACGCACCGTCTACATCTCCTACGCCGTCTTCTCCTCAGGTGTTCAGTGGTGTTCGTGTGTCGCCTACGCACTGCCTTGCGCGCCTTGGACATCCTGCTGCTCCTATAGTTAGTCATGTGCTGCATCGCCATGAACTACCAGTTGTGTCCAATAAGAGTGCTGAAACTATTTATGATGCCTGTCAGCAGGGCAAGAGTCACCAACTACCTTTTTCAGAGTCTAGTCGTGTTGTGAAACATCCTCTTGAGCTTGTGTTTTTTGGTGTATGGGGTCATGCCCAAACATCTGTTAGTGGTCACAATTACTATGTCAGTTTCATTGATGCTTACAGTCGGTTTACTTGGCTATATCTTATCAAGCATAAATGTGATGTGTTTAATGTTTTCATTCAGTTCCAAACACACGTTGAGCGTCTCCTTAAGCATCAGATTATTCATGTTCAATCCGATTGAGGGGGTGAATATCACAACCTCAACTCGTTTTTTAATAAGCTTGGGATTTCGCATCGCGTGTCTTGTCCTCATACACATCAGCAAAACGGCACCGCTGAACATAAGCATCGTCATCTTGTAGAGACTGGACTTACTTTACTAGCTCATGCCTCCGTCCCGTTTCGGTTCTGGAGTGATGCCTTCTCCACCTCCTATTTCTTGATAAATAGGCTTCCCTCACGACTACTGAAAATGAAAACCCCTCTTGAACTCTTACTCGGTGATATTCCAGACTACACGTTTCTCAAAGTGTTTGGGTGCGCATGTTGGCCGCACTTGCGGCCTTACAACAAGCGTAAATTAGAGTTTCGGTCTAAGAAGTGTGTTTTCCTTGGGTATAGTTCTCTTCACAAAGGGTACAAGTGTCTTCATGTTCCCACCAATCGTGTCTACATTTCTCGTGATGTCGTGTTTGATGAGAATGTGTTCCCGTTTCATGCTCTTCCGAACCACTCTACCACTAGTTTACCACCTGTGCACTCCACTACACCTTCGCCTGACCAATTTGTGGATGTTGCAAATGCTCCTATGTTGCTTCCTAACCATGCTGCAGGTATTGGACGCGGTGCCCGCCTTGAACTCCTGGATGATGAGGTTATGGACGACACTCATGATGGCCATGTTGATCCTATGCATGGCCCATGCATGGTAGGTCATGCCCGTCAGCTCGATGCGTCCACAGACGCCCCGCGGGCGTCGGCAGTGCCCGCGGTTGCACCCGCCTCGGCCGCCCCGTCAGCCGGCTCGCCCGCTCTAGCGCCCGGGTCGCTCGCCTCAGCGCCCGGGTCGCCCGTCCCGTCGATCGGGTCGCCCGGCCCAGCGCCCGGCTCGCCTGGCTCGCCCGCCAGGCCACAGGCGCTGCCCTCGCCAGGCCCAGTGGCAGGCGGCCCATCAGCAGGCGGCCCAGCAGCCACGAAAGCTGCGCGGGCCAACCCCGCCTCGGCTACGTCGTCGCCTGGGTTTGGCAGTCCCGTCCTGGCAATGTCGCCCGGTGCTGAGTCTGCTGACTCTGGCTCCTCCAGCCCCGTATCGGCGACGACGCCTTCGTCGCCTGTGGCAAGCCCCGTGGTGCCAGCACCGCTCGTTGTGGTTCATCATCGACCACACACGCGCAGCCGGTCTGGTGTTTTTTGCCCTAAGGAACGCAAAGACGGGACGGTGGCGTGGCTTGCTGCATGTGTGGCTCATGCTGCTGCGGATCCCACTGCAGAGCCGCGTCATTTTCAGGCTGCACTAGGTATTCCTCACTGGCGTGCTGCGATGGAGCAGGAATTTCAGGCCTTGCTGAAAAATGGTACTTGGCAGCTTGTTCCTCCGGTCTCTGGCGTCAACATCATTGACTCCAAGTGGGTGTTTAAGGTCAAACGACATGCAGATGGTTCTATTGAGCGCTACAAGGCATGGCTGGTTGCAAAGGGTTTCAAGCAGAGGTACGGTCTTGATTATGAAGACACATTCAGTCCAGTTATCAAGCCTACTACTATTCGTATACTGCTGTCTCTTGCCGTTACTCGTGGTTGGTCGCTTCGTCAGCTTGATGTGCAGAATGCTTTCCTCCATGGAGTTCTTGAGGAAGAGGTTTATATGCGTCAACCACCTGGTTTTGTTGATCCTACGCGTCTGCATCATCTCTGTCGTCTGGTCAAGGCGTTGTATGGACTCAAATAGGCGCCTCGTGCATGGCATGCTCGTCTTGGTTCTGCTCTCCGGGCTCTTGGGTTTATTCCCTCAACTGCTGACACGTCACTGTTTCTCCTTCAGCGCCCTGAGGTGACGATGTATCTCTTGGTGTATGTTGATGATATCATCCTTGTCAGTCCCTCCAATGCTGCTGCCGATCGCCTTGTGTCTGCATTAGGTGAGGAATTTGCTGTCAAGGATTTGGGTGCTCTGCATTATTTTCTTGGATTGGAGGTGTCACGGTCCTCTACTGGGTTGACTTTGAGTCAGAAAAAGTACTCCATGGATCTGTTGGGCCGTGCTGGGATGCTCCAATGCAAACATGCTATCACTCCGATGTCTGCCACTGATCGGTTGTCTGCCCTTGATGGAGACCTTCTTTCCACTGATGACGCCACTGAGTATCGCAGTCCTGTTGGTGGTCTGCAATATCTCACTATCACCAGACCTGATGTCTCTTATGCAGTCAACCGTGTGTGCCAGTATCTGCATGCACCTCGTACCACTCATCTCTCGGCAGTTAAGCGCATCCTGCGTTATGTTTCTTCTACTGCTTCGTATGGTCTGCTCCTTCAGTCTGCACCGTCTTGTGAACTTTCGGCTTTCTCTGATGCGGATTGGGCTGGAAGTCCTGATGATCGGCGATCCACGGGGGGATATGCAGTGTTCTTTGGTCCTAACCTAATCGCTTGGAATGCACGCAAGCAAGCCACCGTGTCTCGTAGCAGTACTGAAGCTGAGTATAAAGCTGTTGCCGATGCTACCGCTGAGATCATATGGGTACAGTCTTTGTTGCGGGAGCTGAGAGTCTCTCCAGGTCATCCTCCAGTTCTGTGATGTGATAACATCGGCGCTACATACCTTTCATCTAATCCGGTGTTTCATGCTAGGACGAAACACATCGAGGTTGACTATCACTTTGTTCGGGAACGTGTTGCACAGAGACTACTTTGTATCAAGTTCATCTCCTCCAAAGATCAACTTGCTGACATCTTCACGAAGCCTCTTCCACAACCACAGTTTGTAGGTTGTAGGTGCAATCTTAACTTACTTTGTACTTCAAGCTACAGTTAAGATTGAGGGAGGGTGTTAGACTGTATATACATAGTCTTGTATATGCCTTGTATTGTACCTCTTGGTACGTCTATATAATGAGATAGCCACACCCCGTTTTAGGGTGTCGAGCCAGTTTCCCAAACCCTATGTTTTACACACAGGAGGGCGGCGGGGAACAAGCCGCTGACCAGATCCCTCGCAGCCGTCAAGGAGCTGCTCTATGACGCCGATGATGTGGTCGACGATCTGGACTCCTACAGGCTTCAGCAGGAGCTCCAACCTGGTAATTTTTTTTATATCCAAGTATCTGCTGAATTGTTTGCTTATTCGTAGTTCCAATTCCTTTTTCCTGGAGCAAGACGACTATGCACCTTTTCTTCTGTCTCAGAGATGCTGCTCGAAACGGATGGAGCGCAGCAAGTTGAAAATTCTAGAGAAAATGCTGATCATGTACAGAGTAGCAGTAATGGCAGGTTACGGTCCAAGGAATGGCTTCACTTTGACATCATAGACACTGAACAAAATGGAGGGCCTTCCAGAGCAAGATGCAAGTACTGTCAAAAAGAGGTTATGTGCAACATAAAAATGGGGACATCAGTTTTGCGCAATCATCTCAAGAGCAAAGCTTGTAGCCACAAACGTGGAGCAACTGACCCTTGTTCAAGGTACCTAGATTATTTTTCTGCATTGCACCCGCACACTTTTGCGAGTCTTTTTTTTTAATACATATGCGTCTACTAATCCATGATCTATTTCACATTGCAGCACTAGTGATGCTACTACAATTCCTACCCCCGTTGCAGCTGGTAATTCGTCCAGCAGAAAAAGGATGAGAACTGGTCAGGAGTCAACGCACATTGCCGCAGGTGACCCAAACGGGTGGAACAAGGAGGCATTTTCCGAAAGGATACAAGACATCACTAATTAGCTGCAAGGCAAGCGAGAGGCTATCACAAGGCTTCTCAAGATACTTGGGTCAGAGTCTGGTGTTGCAAGTTCAAATCACTTTCAGAGTACAATCTCAGATCCCCGCCGAAGAACATCAAGTCTTGTTCAAGGGAAAGTGTATGGGAGATCTCAAGAGAGGGGATCCATCAGAACGTTGATAAAAAAACACAAATCAACTGTTAGTGTCACTATTCTGCCTATTGTAGGCATCGGAGGAGTTGGGAAGACAACCCTCGCTCAGCTAGTATTCAATGACCCAGCTTTGGAAAGTCAATTTGATCACGAGATATGGATTTGGGTGTCTAACAACTCTGATGAAATGAGACTCACAAGAGAGATGCTAGATTACGTCTGCCAAGAATTACATGATGGCCTATGCAGCTTTCCCAAGCTTCAGGAGGTCTTGAAAGATCATATTAAATCAAAGAGGGTTTTACTTATCTTAGATGATGTATGGGAAGACGTGGATGACTGCCGATGGAACAAATTGTTGGCTCCTTTCAAGTCTGATGGTGCATATGGCAATATGATAATTTTGACAACTAGAAAACCATCCGTTGCAAAGAGGAGAGGTACAACTCGGCCAATGGAGTTAGGTGCTTTGCGAAGGACCATTTCTGGCTATTGTTTAAATCATGTGCATTTGATGATGAGAATTACAAAGAGCAAGCAAGTCTAAGTGACTTAGGACAGAAAATAGCACAAAATTTAAAAGGAAACCCATTAGCAGCACAAACTGTAGGGGCACTACTAAAAAATCATCTTACGGTGGATCATTGGAGTAACATTCTGAAGACCGAAGAATGGAAGTCACTGCAACACACCGGTGGCATCATGTCTTCTTTGAAGCTTTCCTATGATGAGCTGCCCTACCCTGTACAACAATGCTGCTCATATTGTTCTATATTCCCCTACAGTTATGAATTTAATGATCAAGAGCTAGTTCATCTATGGATTTCACAGGAATTTGTGAAGCAAGATCATTCAAGCAAGAGTTTGGAGGAGATTGGACGGTACTATCTAACTGACTTGGTGAACCTGGGCTTGTTTGAGCAGTTTGAAAGAAAAGGTTTCTCTTTTCATAGTCAAACTCAAACTTGCTATGCTATGTGTGGCCTAATGCATGATTTTACAAGGCTAGTTTCAAGAACTGAGTGTGCAATTTTGGATGGTTTGCAATGCACTGATATTTTGACAAATGTACACCACTTGTCCATATTAACCAGTTCTGTATATAGGAGGGACGATCAGAATGCGAACATACCTCGTAGCGAGATGTTTGAATTTTTCTTGCAAAACATAGTCACATCAGTGAGAAAGTTGAGGACATTGGTGTTAATTGGAGAGTATGACTCATTTTTCTTCAAAGCATTCCAAGATGTATTTGAAAAAGCACATAATCTGCGCCTGTTGCAAATTTCTGCAACATCTGCTGATTTTAATTCCTTCCTGTGTAGCATGGTAAATCCTACACGTCTTCGGTATCTAAAACTTCAAGATGGTCATACTGAGCAGAAGGCTTTGCCTCATGTCATGGGCAAGTTTTTCCATCTTCAGGTGTTGGATGTTGCTTTCTTTATGTCATTGCATACGGTTCATCTAGAGGATTGCGGAGGATGTGGAACACTTCCATCTCTGGTAATGCTTCGGTTTCTTAAAAGGTTGAAGTTGAACAACATGCAGAGAGTACGAGAAGTGTTGGTTCCGTCATTGGAAGAGCTGGTTTTATATGGAATGCCAGATTTACAGATATGTTCTTGTACTTCCATGGGGGATATGAAGTCTAGTTTAAGGGTGCTAGAGATCCGGAGTTGCCCTGCACTTGAGGTGTTTGATCTGTTTCAGAAAGGCCATAACTATTTAGATATATTAAAACTGAGCACCTTTCCAGCCCTCTCAGGCTATTAGCATCGGGAGACGTCCGTTTTTATGATCTAGCCATTCCTGGCCGTTTGATCTCCGTTACCACAATGTCTCCCGCTAAGTAGGCTGAATGTCGTCGAGGGACGCTATTCTGGTGGAAAAATCTGAACGCGCTGGTTGATTGGGCTTTGTGCATGACGGCCCAACTAGCTGATTCCCCTCAAAAAAAAGAGAAGCTGATCCGGTGCCTCCTCTTCTCTGGCACACCTGCTCGTCGCCTCGCTCCATGCCCCCACAACCCTGCCGATCTCGAACTAGGCTAAACTAGCTGTATTGCCGGTGAGGTCGCCGCCCTAGAGAGAGAAGATGGAAAATGACAACCATGGGTTGGAGTGAGTCTCCAAGCAATCTCTGTCGAAGTCGAGCCGCCCGGGTCACTACCATTATCTTCTTTTTTTTCGTGCGGATCACCCGGATCAGAGTTAGGCGATGACAGCATCGGAGGCCACTTCCTCCGGTCATGCATGTCCCTCTGATCAAGGCACAAAATCTCACCAGAATTGTTAGGTCCATGATGCTGGAAGAGGAGATGAGAGGATGACGAGCAGGTATGTGTCCCTCCCCCTTCCACGCCTCCCCTATTTTTGATTGATCCACTTACTCGATCTGGTGTCCATGTTGGTGGAAGAGGAGTTGAGAGGATGAGGAGCAGAGGATCGGATTTCAGAAAGTGGGAAGAAGCGGAGGCTAGCCAGTTGAAATTTATTGTCCTTATCGTTAGGTCTCCCCCAATCTCGTCCTTGAAGAACAGCGACCTTGCACGATCAGGGCAGCTCGTCAGCTTGCTTGCCGGCTGCAGGCCGATTAAATCAGTATCTCAGGCACGCTGCTGTCCAAGACAGCATACACGCTTCGGCCCTGCATCATTCATATCTTCTCCTAGGTGTGTGAGGAGGAGAAATCAGGAGGACGAGGAGGAGAACAGCGATCATGTACATGCATGTATGTATTTTTTGCTTATGACATCCAAAACAAATTACGTACCGTGCAAGGTCAATACTACAGATTGTTTCTCAAAGCCTTTCTTAGCTTGATCTGTTGCATCAGGCATCGACTCCATGTTCATGTCAAGCTGGCACTCTTCCCCCTAATTCTTCATGTTTTTTCACGGTTACGAATTCAGTTATAACTTGGGTTGATCTGTTGTATCAGGAGAAACGAGTTGTCCTCATTTGTGTGTAAAAACAGTCAGTTTAAAGCTATACAGAATATGGACAATATGGGGACAGAAAGCTCAAAGATGGCAAAAAGGGACCTTCAGGAGATATTTCAGTTGACGACAGTACTATCAACAAGCATTTATTTCATCCACAATAAAGTTAGAGGATGAGTCCGGCCCTGTTAGTAAGTAGCTGTTGTATCAACTTGATGTTCTTGACTAAGATCATGGTAAGCTTTAATTTAAAATCAAATTATTATTTAGGTTTTATTTCTTTTTCTATTCAGAAACTGACTTACCTTGGTTTTGTGACACTGTATTGGGTGTCTTCTTTTCCTTTGAAGTGTTGAGATGTCAAGTTTGTGGAGATCTTCATTGTTCCTTCTTTTTTGAAGCTCACACCGATGTAACATGATACTTCTCTACCCTAACAATGTAATATTGCGCATCAAGGTTATGCATTATGAAATTTGTATTTTCTTACCTGTTTAGCTGGACGCGCCTTTTTAAATTGAATTGTTTGTCCTGAGTTATCCATATCGATGGTTTGGTCAGATATTATTTTTGGTTTGTTAGCTACTTGTACATTTCTTACAGTGCCTTATTGGACTTGAAAGTAAGCACCAACAAGCCATAAATAATACACTGATCTATGTTCTTATCCTCTTCCAAGACAAAAGTAATCATTTTTAATGGACAATACCGTTCACTCACTGTTTCATAGTATGATATATATTATATAGATTGGAAGAACTTGTCACATGAAAGGATAGACAATGCTATAACAATATCATGTACATTTTTGTACGGTGTTATATGTGAATAATATAAACAAATGGATACTGATTTTATGTGAATAATATATACGGTTTTCCATCTGTTGAATGTTCTGTTGACATGTTTAGAATCAGAACTGTAGGCAGTTATCCTTTCCTAAGCACCAAAACATGGAGTGCTTGATGATTCTGTGAAAAGGATGGGTGAGGTTTGGTTCAGTTTACTTGCCCTAAATAATATTTACCTTTGAGTTAAGGTACAATTTCCTACTGCTAGCCAATTTTAACTCAGAGCATGTCGTTCCGTAAATTGCGTAAATTGCGCATTGTGAATTTGATTACCAAATATTCTTTTTTTTTGTCTGCCAGCAACAACATTTGTTCATCATTATTTAGGCATACTATTTTTCATATATTCCAGACAAATCTTCGGCTGGATGGATATCCGGTTGCAAAGCAGTGAAATTTCTTACATTACCAAGCAAGAAACTGCAATTAGTAGTTGCCTGCAGTTTATAAGATACACCATATGTATATATGAAAAAATAGTCAAATTTAACCTCCTATGTTGCTAACCAATATATGCCAGTTTATTAAAATTTAACTTTCATGTTGTTTATTTGTATATAATACATAAACACCTATCGTTTACTGTCAAAATAGACGGGCGCGGCAACGCGTGCCACCGATGATCTAGTGAAATTGAGGATAAGTCATGGTTGCCCAGTCTGAGGAAACTCATTATGTTAGATTGTCCTCATTTGCAAGTACATATCCCCCTTCCACCTTCAGTTATATTTTCTGAACTATTAATCAGCAGTATTTCAACAATTATGGAAATGGAGGGATCTTCTATGGAAAAAATGGAAATTAGAGGAGGTACACTTTTGCTTGATACACTCGATGACAAAATTTTGGCATTCCATAATCTTAAGGATATCAAATACTTGGATATATTTTGGTGCAAAAACCTAAAATCTATTTCATTTAAAGGATTAAGTCAGCTCATCTCTCTAAAGCATTTGAAAATAGTGGGCTGCAGAGAACTTTTCTCTTCAGATGATGTGCCAGAGCAGACCCATGATGACATGATAACTGCAAATGCTGCTGCTCCCCCGGCTC